AGTTCTTACCAACGATTTTATGAGGTGTAAGAGAATTTTGAATCGCGTAGTGACAAAAATAAAAATACTCAAATAAGCAAACAAAATTGGCATTACATGTTCAACACCACAATTAAATGATATCTGCAAAAAGAATTCGTTATAGAAAGTTAAGTAATGCCAGGGGAAAGATAAGGAATCAAGGCAGTCAAAGCTGACCTGTATAAAATGAACTTCAGCAGTCCTTTTGAAATTAGTGTAGCTTTGCGGTGTAGGCCTAATTATAATCATTTTAAGATCATTATTTTTTCGCTGGTCATATACGAGACCTGATTAACGATTCGGAATTACCGTCAATCAGGTTTTCTCGAAAATCCGGTCGTCTTGCTTACTTTCAACTTAAACACATGGTTTAAACACTGGCAAATATTTGAGCTTATCCAATAATATTCTTATTTCACAATCTGTACATTGCATAATCCTCTCTGTTTGTTCCTGTCGACTGTTATCTTTCTCCATAACGAGTAGGCCCCCTTCACGAGGTTTATATTGCCAATACATATTAACCAGATTTCCCGTGTTAATTATTGCTAATCTCTAAAACAAGCTATACGTTTTTAAACGCTTTTAATGTTCAGATCTTCATGGTTCCTCCAAGTCTTGCATGCACTGTGAAAAGGTTGGGAAATATTTTCCCAACACTTTGCCCAACATTGTGCCAATATTCAACTCAACCATCTATTGGGCAATATTTTGCCCAGTGGTTTTGGTAAATGTAAGTAACCTTCTTCACACATGCATAATTGTTTAGTGTTTTGACCAAAAGCTTGGTCAAGATTTCCCCAACATGTGGGCTACCGTAGTCGGGCAGTTGAAGGGTCATATCTTTGCCAACATTTTGGTCAAAATACGAATATTGATAATAATAATAATGATAATAATAATAATAATAAATGATAAATATTGTAATAATAATAATAAATATTGTAATAATAATTATAATCATAATATCGATCACTTAAGATAGCCATAAACAAAAAGTACCAAATCTCTTACAAAACTACAGAAAGTGAAGAAAAGAAACAGACTCAAAAAAACTCCGGGTCCTTACGGATACGATCAGAGCGCGAGAAGAGTTTGGCGATCCTGCCCTCTACGGCTCACGTCCCGTTGTATTTTGAATAGTTATATTGCAGTGAAAGGCGAGTTCTGCTGATTTATAGAAGTTAATAATCGTCTAAAAAATCGTGAGTAATCACCACTGTTTATTTGAATAATTCACATAATCAATTTAACTTCCTTTGTTCTCCAAGGAAAGTTCCGTACCTATTCTTTATAACTTATATCGATGGAATCCATGAAAACATTTTTTACCTAAAAAAGTATCCTTCTCTATGAAAAAATAATAAGTTCTTCCACCACAGATCAACAGTATTAGACAAATTGGAAATTTCATTTTTTTTTGTTTCAAAATTGGAGCTGGATCGCTCATGAACATAATGGTAAATTTAATTTTGAAATTGTTTTTCTTGACTTCAAAAACTCTTTCTATGACTTTGAATGTTTGCTTCTCTTCTCTTTTAGAATTTTAATTAATGCCCGAAAGGACTTTCCCTTTAGATAAATAAATACAAGTCATGTACCCCCCTGTCTGTCTGCCTGCCAGGCTATCTCTCTCTTTCTCTGTCTCTATCTATCTCTCCCTCTCCCTCTTACTCTCCCTCCCCCTCCCTCTTCCTTCCTCCCGATTTCTTTTTCATTCTCTCTCTTCTTCTCTCCCGCTCTTTATCACTCTTTCTTCTCCACTATCCTACACTCGTTCTCCCTCTTTCTTCTCCACTATCCTACACTCGTTCTCCCTTTTTCTTCTACACTATCCTACACTCGTTCTCCTCATCTCTTCTCTTCCATTGACTCTCTTGTTATTCTGTTCCCTTATTTTCCTATTCTATCACTACATCTCTCTTCCTCTCTTTCTCTCATTGCTTCTCTCGATCGTCTTTCGTATTCGTCATTTAAACAAATCTGTGTGTATCATTTCACCTTAAACAATATAAATTGAACGGCTATCTGTCATTCAGGAGCAGGCTATGAGAATTCTCATTTCATTCAGCTTCATATTGTCTGTATTAATGTCTCGCTCGCTCCTGGTTCTGATCGTACTTCCCGCCGTCTCTCCTCCACTACATGAAAACCACTTCCGCGTTCAGAGAGGGGGAAAATGACGTCACAATTCTGATAAAAACCACACTCTTGCATCAATGAGTGTTAATCTGTATCTACAGGCGAGCGATATACCATTCACTGTTTACGTGTGTTTGTAAACACAAGGAGATCCATTCGCTTCCTTCTTCCTTGTGATGGAAAACAATATCCCGTAAAAAGGTCTTAAACCTTATAAATGCAATGTATATTTATATTTTGTTTGTGCTGTATGCATGTAATTTTTTTCTCTCATAGATTCATCTATTTCATGTATGCGTGTTTTGATATTCTTGATATAACAAATTAAAGTTTAATGTAAAGAGCAACTGAGATTTTTTTTTCAATCGTGTGGAAAATATCAGAATATTGTTTTTAAAATAATCAATATAATAGGGTAAAAAATAGGGGCTGAAAAACACCTGTAAGTCATCGAGCATTTTCAACTTTCTGCACTTGCTATTATGTAATCTTTGAATACTACTAGTACTACCCCCCCCCCCCCCCAACTGTATTGTAGGTCTGCATGTATAACATGAGTAACACTTATCTCTCTCCATTAATGTAATTTTAACAAGTCTAAAAAACGTTTTAAAAATCATTGCCATAGATACGTGTCATGTACACCCTCTCTCTCTCTCTCTCTCTCTCTCTCTCTCTCTCTCTCTCCGTATACCTATCTCCCTACCCCTTTCTAACTATATATTTTCCCCCTATATCCCCTTCCCTCTCCCTCTCCCTCTCCTCCTCTTCTTTTCCATTATTACCCACTCTCTCTCTCCTCATCCCTTCTCTTCCATTCCAATGTCTCTCTTGTTAATCTGTTCCCCTGTGGGTTCTTGCATTAAACAAAACAAAACGTTTTAAAAATCACTGCCGCCCCCGTGCCCATCCCTCCCCGGTGGTCTTTATCTTTAATAATTATTTCTTTCCTATCCCTCTCTCTCTCTTATAGTCTGTATTTCTTATTACAGACACTGAAGTTGAGAACACACTTTTCTGACACAAACTGAACTAGATATGGTCGATTTTTCGTTATACCACAGCGTGTGATGGCGCTATTACTTATTTGGCTGTATGACAATACTGATTGCGGCATAGCGGCTTGCTTTTTGAAGGAAAAATTGTGTATTCATTATTTTCCCAGTAATATTCAGTTTATGGAATATAAATATTTCAGCCACTGTTGCTGATAATGTTGATGTTTCCCCTCTTTTTCGATAGCGTCGATCTAAAAGGGAATTATCTCGTCAAAAGGGAGATATTGATATTATGATTTTAAAGTAACTTGATTACTATACGTCATCGTGGTCATCGGAATCACAATCAATCAATTCCTTTATAAGATGTATTCACTTGCAAGCTCTCATTTTATATTCTAGATTTGCACTTAGTACATGCAAAGGCAGGAATCTTCGTTGAAGAAATTTAGAACAAAAAAAAAAAAGAATATTTATGCCACCTTGAAAAGAAAATAGCTTTACAAATTTATCACAATGACATGCCATAGAAATATTACGTTCCGTAAACTAATAAATAATAAATAAACAGATGATGATAGATCACTGGGGAATTGTTGCTGTCTAAAAATAATCACTTTTGTGTTGTGAGCCAAAATCGGTTTGTACAAAAATAATTTATTTCACAGCCATGTCATGCAAAATCACAAACTTGTCCAAATCGGTTCTACTCTATATGACATATTTCATTATTAGTATGATATTAATACCCAACATGTTCTATAACAGACTAAATCAGCTCTAACAAAGAAATAATCTCTCCATTTATTGGGTGTATCGAGCTGATAGACACCTGCTATTTGCATAAAATATTTAGCTCTTTCATGCAACACATCGAACTAATCAATATCTAGCAAGGAGTAATTATATTACACTCGAGTTTCATTAGAGCCACTCATAGCATTGATGCGATGTAATTAAAACTGTGCTGATGCTAGTACACATTGAATAGAATGAAATCAATAGAATCAAGAAGGAAAGGAAAGTGTTCCACGACTGGATTCATAATGATTAATAGAGACACGATATCCTAAAATTAATAATAAATTAACGATATTAATGAGGTTAGAGATTGTCCAATTTTTAAAGATTGTTTGGTCAAAAGCGAAAATAAATACAAAAGCTACAAAGGTAAATACTTTGTTTAAAACAGATACAAGCCTTCCCCGTTAAAACCTCAGGCACACTGTCAAACCGATTCCGCACCGACTCCACACGGACTCCAAACCTACCTGTGTGGCTATTGGTCGTACTGTAAATATTTCTTCGGTCTGGTGTCGGTCTCGGCGGTGTGACAGAGGTATAACAATTGCATACTTAGGAAACAAAGGAGGCTAAATTTCAGTATTTTACAAAAGAATCTAACTTCTGTGGACGGACGACAACAATATCAGAGAAAAGGTCACTTTGAATTCTAAGCTTTATTATTCATGGAGGACCACAAGCTATTATGGGTCTTCTTTGTTTACAATGACAGTAAAGACATGATTAAATTTGCTTTTTTTTTCTCTTACGAACCAATCAAGTCTGAAAAGAGATGTTTCTTTAATTAAGAAATATGGTACTCAAAATAATGTATGTTGTATAAATACGATAGCTATGAATACGTAAAGCATACTGGAACCTTCCTTTTCTTGCGCTACTTATCTTAATTCAAGTAATCTGTTAATGGCATATCCTTTGCTTTGACAGTTTCAGACACATTCTTGATTATGTAAACCAATATCAATCATTGATTAAAACTATCAAAAGACGCCACGAGGAGGAAAAAAGTCAAGGATATATCACACCGGGTTATCTTCCACGGATTAATCATCCTTGCTTGTCTCCCACACCAGGTGGAACAAAACTTCCTTTTCTTCTCCTAAAAGCAGTCACCATCATCCTAGCTGCCGAACTGTCCTCCGAGCTCACTGATGACGCCGAATCTTCAAAGGTTCTTCCACGATCACGAGCCCGGAGATCTCCGGCTTTCGACTTGCGACCAGCGTTCAGGTCTAAACTACTACTGCTGCTGGACAAGCGACTGCTTCCGTTCATGTTTAAACGTGATTGTTGTCGGGTCAGTTTGCTTGACGCATGCGCTTGACGCGGTGTCAGTTGTTCCATGACTGGTTGGATTTCAGGGATCTTCATGTGCTCCGGAGTCTTGGCGCATTGACGGAACGAATCAGAAGACTGAATCTCGTAGCGTTGGAATATTTGCTTGAAGTGACTCTGATGGTAGTCGACTCCAGGGTCAACTTGCCTGTTCCGGTGATTCTTTCCGCGCTGCCGAGAGAGACTGGTTGTGGAAGAAGTGTTCGGCGCAGAATGCAGTTGAAGAGTTTCTGATGTTGCAGGTGCTGGCGCGAAAGTGGCTGTAATGAAATGTCCTTTTGTAAGGTCTTGAATCCAAGGCTTGAAAAGCATTCGGCGCTTTGTCGATGTCGATGGAAGTTTCTTTTCCTTTTGCAAGGAAGTTCTCGGCGAACTAAGTGCCTCTTCACTTTTCGTCCGGGAGACGACAATGGCAGGAGGTAGGAAGACGTCGTCTTCCATATCACTGCGGTGACTCGTCCTCGAGTTGGAGATGGATGGTAAACCATTACGTAATGACCCGAGGCTAACGGTTCGTTTTCGCGTCCGGATGTCTTTATTTCGTAACCAAGGTTTATCATAGGACTTACGCCGAGGAGCTTCGTCGATGACCCTCTGTTCATGATCATGTTTCCACTCCATCGGTCCCCAGTGCAGATTGGCATCCTTTACCTCTGTGGACGCTCCATGATCCTCAAGCATTTGTGCCACTCTCTCGTGACCTTGTCGGCATGCCTCCAACAGAGGTGTCATGCCCCACTTGTTCGGCTTATCCAAAGGAAGCTTGAAATGTAACAGGGACTTGATAACCGCCTCTACGACACCCTCCTTCCCGTTCGACGCGGCGTAGAACAGCGCGGTATTGCTGTATCGGTCGCGCTGGTTAGGGTCATAGTCTACCGCCTTGAGGAACACCTTGACGAGTTCGGTGCGTCCGAAGATGCACGCGGTCATGAGCGCGTTCTGACCGCGTCGATCCGAGTAGCCTACCATGGCTCCATTAGCAAGCAGAAGCCGAGCGATGCCCACTCCCCAGTCCTCCTGTTCGATCATAGCACATAGCATGAGAGGTGTCCGATGCTCGGCGGGGTCCTGGATGTTGACATCTTCACCCGTTGTAACCAAGTAACGAATGTCCTGGAACTGACCCTTCAGGATGGCCAGGTGAAGGTCAGGAATGTCTTGAATGCTGGTCTTCGACATCTTGATTCTACGATGAAAAAAGAAAAAGAAAATAGCAATACGCTTCAATGGCATAATCATGAACAATAAAAGCCTGTACAATAAATGATTTTCATGACAATTTTGTCTCAACTTGCACAACTGGCACAGACCAAGTGTTGTTAGCATCATTTTCAAAGACGCTGACGTTATCAACCTTTAAAATGTGTATGGATTTTGGCAAGGAAGAAAATACTATGAGAAAGATAATTCAATAAAATTAATCATCATCATAAAATATTGCATAAAATATGTTAAATTCTCATGATATTGGTCCCCCCTTTTTTTTTCTTTTTTTTTGTCACTATATAGTACACGTACTATTTGGATCTGGGTTCGTACCCACCATAAATTACAAATCATTAACAGTTTTAAAAGCGAACAAAATAATGTATGCTTATGGAATTTGATAGACTAAAAATCGGACAAATTTATCAACATTTCTTTGTAAGGTTCTATCAGATAAGTTCTATTTGATAAGAAGTTCTGTAGCCTTACTCTGTCGTTTCATTGATCATTTTTTTCACATACACAGTATTTGTTTGATATTGTATAATTTTAATTATGATTATGATTATGATTATTATTATCCAGCAGTTATCACATCCAGTACAGGTGTCTTTCAGATGGAGGGGGTGCATATCTGAACATACATACAATTCAAAAAGCCCCCTTTTTAAACAAAAAAGTTACTTCCCCGAATCTAGAAATACAATCACTTGAAATGACGAGAACTAAACATTATTCAAAAGGAATGGAGTCCAAGTCCACAATTCTCATTGTCAACTTGGCCATGGAAATGATCGGGTTCTCATTACCACTACAATAGCGAAACCTATCATATTCCTTGTTTGTATACCTCGACCGATTCAATATACCCCAGGCACACCCAGCGAGACCGACACCAGACCCGAGCTATAATCACATTACTCCAAATGGCCCTGTTATCGGTCGGGTTGGAGTAGGCTGGTTGGTGAAACAGGGGCCCACCGTTGCAGAGGTCGAGTAAATAAACCGTTTACTGACCAAAGTTCATCATACCTCAGATAAAAATTTGCTTTTGCAAATATCATTAATAGACTGTAAGAAGAAGTTGAATACACGGTGACTTCATTGGTATGATGTCATGTGTAATCTACGATGTTGAAAAGAAGTTATTCAAACGAGATACTAAGTTATCATAAAAACACAACAATGTCACAGCGACATATCAATACACCTTTTAAGGCTATTTGAAATCTCCATATTTTGACAAATACACTCTCTTGAAGGAAATATAATTTATCTAATATAATTATTTTTGAATTTAATTAAACGAAATATGTAATTGTGTAGAGCATCAAACAAAGGTGATGAGAGTATCCCGATTATTCAGCAAATCAGTACATGGAAATCCATTTATATAATGAAGCATATTAAACAATAATATATCCGAGGAGTAAAGTTTCCGTGAGCCAATATTGCTTAAATTTCTTTTCCAAGCTTTAATTTCCTTTGTGATACGTTAAAGCAGTAATCATTCTTATGCACCATGTAATCGTCATTTATGTGTCTATTCCAGTAACATAATGTTCAGACCTCTCTTTATAGAATTCTGTAACTTTGAGCTTCATGTAGCTTTGCTAAATCGAATTAGCCTTCCAAAATGATTGCTGTACATTGTATCTGTATTGTGTCTGTATCAATAAATGTAGCCCGTTATATAAAAAAAGGTTAATGAGGTACATTATTATGAGGATAAAGAATTAATGAATATACTTCTGAAAATCAAAAACTTTGTAAGGTCAAACATACCTTGAGAGTTCAGACAATTCCAATGCTGATCATCGTCGTCGTCGTCATCGAAGTAACTTGTAGAGGAGTATAATGTTCCCCAATGGTTATGTCTCTAACTCTTTGAAAGTCACAATATCATTCTCTTGTAAAAACAAGTGTCACCAAGATAGTAGAAAAGTTATAAACAATTGTGAATATCGCAGAGTAGTTTGTATGATTGAAGCGATTATCCTAACAAGTAGATTTTCCCTCTTAACAGTATGCAGATAAGAAGAACTCAATGGCCTAGTCTCGGGGGTAGTCCTACAGAATCTTCCAGAGGCAAGTTCAAGGTTGTAAAACAGTATTGGGTAAAGTTGAGCATCGACAATAATAACAACAGACCACTTCGGAATATGTAGGCTTAAGAGATGCACTGATACGTGTAGATTTAAAGACACTGATATAGCTGGTGCTACTGGTCTCGCGAGTATAGTTAGTTGATGAGCACTATTGTAATGACTGCTATATTCATGAGCCGTCTCCTCAAAGGCTTCTGATCTCACATGCCGAGGTAGGGACGTAGACTTTGGACACAGTCGTTCTAGAAGGTAAACAAGGCTAACAAATAGAAGGAACAAATTGATTGAGATTTTCTAAATAAAGATAGACGTGTGCGTCTTCTTTAAAACTAGTCTTTTTTCTCTCTTTTTCAAAAGATCTTCAACAAACAAACGCTTTGATTCAATTTCACATAATGATATCTTTTATTTAAAAAAGTTTCGTTTTAAGGGGAAATTGAGGTGAAAAAACTGTTGTCGTCGACCGTAAAATGTTACTATTTCAAGGTTGCCAAAGTTATGTTTTGTTTTGTTTTTCTAAAATTGTAACTGATGAGTTCGGGGACAATAATTTCTCTCTTTACGGAATGATTTGACCTAACTCGGCTCATGTCGGCACATATGGCCTGAAATTGATTCAGTATGATTGATATCAATCATTGGTGTAAATTAAATTCAATTATCACGTTGTTTTTTTGTCTTAGTTCCTTTTCAAATATTGATTTAAGAAATATCGACGTCTTGTATATCAGTGATGTTTGATAAACTGCAATTAATCCAAAATACATTATAATGTAATAAGATATCCATTGATTTGTCAAACCTCAATTATTTATCTCAATACATTTATTTACACCATTCTTCTTCTCTTTAATCAATAGCATTGTTACTTTTTCCCCCTTTCATTTATTCCATAAGATGAAAATTTGAGCAGACTTTGTATAATATGTGATAATTCACATCGAAACGACTGGTATCACCTCTACAAACTCCAGCCAACCATGTATGACAATAGCGCTGGTATCTTTGCTTAGCGGATAAATTGCTATGCAACGGTACACAATCAGTGCCAGCTAGAAATAGGGAAGCCTTTTCGGGACGTTGTCAACGTACTATGCTCCTCGAAGGGTGTCTATCCTTCGAGCTATTTACTAAGTTACGTAATTAGTCAACTTTTTTCTCACAATATTTTGGAGTTAAGGCGAGGAAAATACTTCAGAAAAGGGGGTGAAATCAGAACGCCATTCTTGTAAACACGATTGGTAGAGGAGTGTCGAAATCTTGAAGAATAACAATAAAGTAGCAATCCTCCAAAAATAGCCCATTTTTTTTATACGCTCACACTAAACTTGCCCGTATGATATCATAATAGCATATCGTATATATCGTATTATAAGACTTATGCGTTTTTTCGTGCAAATGTAGGCGTAAAAATTAGCATAGGACACAAGCTTCATCATGTGAACAAAAACAAATGATAATTATTACAATAATGTGACCATTTCACTTTTCACTCACTCCATCGTCGAATATTATCATGGACTCAGGTTCGTCCTCTTCTCATCCTTTAAGTGAAGTTTTTATTTTTAGTTCTTTATCCTCTTCTATCCTCACCACCTCAAACACACCTTTCTTCTCATCTACTTTGTTAACCACGCAATCATTGTTTTATATTTATGAGATCATGATTTGTCTTCTGTGTCTTCTTGATATAATTGTGTATATTTGTGTATTATACCATCAGCTGATGAGGAGAGCTTTCTACAGAAATTTCTTTTATTTTGGTAATCCATAGGGATTAAATTATGATGGGTTCTTTTCATTTTGTTATTGTATTATTTTGTTATTGCTACATAACACTCATTTATGATTCTGGACATGGACAAGAATAGAAATAAAACTAAACGAATAATTAGTGTCTCTTAAAGTTGTAATTCTGCTGCATTTATATCTTATTTTACCATTGTCTTCTTTTTCTTTCTCTATCCTTTCCTTCTGGGTTCATCTATTTTTACCCTCACGGAAATGATGGCGAGTGTGTATAGTAAATGCCAGGTACACAAAATTGCGAGCTACTTCCCACCATTTTAGTTTCTTTAATTAGTGGTCTAAAGACCTTGGGGGCTTGGCAAACGGTAGCAGTTGGTGTGATAGAATGAGATCAAATAGTATCAAGCAAATACTAATTAATTGACAATAGAAGGATACAATATAGCCTTGGAGCAAAATAGGCGAAGAAACGCGGGAGGGGAAGTACTCAAAAGTACTCAATGGATTTTACAAACATGATAAAGGTTAAAAGGTAAAATAGAAAGAAGAAGAGCAGGAGACAGTAGAGAAAAAGAAAGAAGAGGAAGATGAGGAAGAAGAAGGAGGAGAAGAAGACGAGGGAGAAGGAAAAGGAGAAGAAAATAAAAGAAGGAGGAAGGGCAGGAATAGGTAAAAGAACAAGAAGAAGAAGAAGAAGTAACAAATCCAAATTAAAATAACAACAAAAGAAAATGTCAGAAATATGACAATCCACAAAAATACTTAAACGCTGAATGGATAAATTCGAATTTAGAAGAGTTACAAAAAGGAACAAAACTGGGCAAACATGGTGTGTATTTCACATGTGTACTCTTTAGGTGTAAAGCATGAATATGATATCGTTTCATAAATTAAATAGATAACAATTATAAATATTTCTTCTTTTCATTTCCTTATCATCTACCTCCAAGTATATATTTTCTAGCATTTAATGCTATTTCACCATTCAACATTGAAACGTACTCTCGTTTCAAGACTTCAAGCACTTCAGACTTGCCGGTAAACGTCTCAAAGTGCCCTTCAAGTGTTTGTATGGTGACTCTGCTATTCATACCCACTCCTTCAGAACTACATTAAAACCCCAGCTGTGATTTTGAGAGTGCTCTAACAAACTTATTCATGATAATAGGACATTCATTGTATTCGCCATTTAAAAAAGTCGCTTGAATTTTTAGTGTGAAAGGAGAGAGAGAGAGAGGGGAGGAAGGGAGAGAGGGAGAGGGAGAGCATAGACGTATGGGAGAGAGAGAGAGAGAGAGATAGAGAGAGGGAGAGGGGAAAACAAAGAGAGAATTAGATAGAGAGAGGGAGAGAGATGGAGATCGTTGATAATGTTTAATAGACAAAGAATATTAAAAAGCAAGAGGAACTAAATTTATATAAAACACTCAAAACATTGAATAATTTAAAAACTTTGGTATCACATAAAAGGAATTATCAATTCGGAACTACTACATACATTTTCCCCCAAGCAGTCTCAATCATTTTCTCTTCCTCCCCATTATCTTTTTTTGTTATTGTATCCCTGCCTATCCGTCTCTATTCCTTTTGTTTGTAACATTTGAAATAGAACTAAATGAAGTTGAGTTCTGGTCATGCGATTGCATTGTGAAAGAAACGGTGTGGAACGGACCAGAAAAGGTTGATCATCTAGCATATTAGAATTTGTGTGTATTGCAAGGTTCTGGAATCACTAAAAATGATAAGAAATGTGGCCAAGTCTTGGTAAAGTTACAAACACTTGCACAGAAAGATGTATATGGGACTACACGAACACGTGGCGTAAAAAGCCGGTCCCCCGATTTTTACGATGTTACATGCATATTTAGAATATGAAGGCATTTGAAGAGCCATGCTTTTCAGGGAACATGTCTGAACTGATTTTCTTCCACACTTGCATAATAAGAATGAGTAATGCTCACAAATTATTTTTCACCTCTTCCCAGAACTCAACCTTCTCTTTAAAGAGAAGGTTGAGAGAGGGAGAAATAACTTGCAAGATTTTTAAATTTTGACGCCTTCGACCTCCCCCTCCCAAATAAGATTCTTTGTTCTCGGTTCACAAATTAAAAAGATATTGTTAATATGGTTGCATTCGTTGGAAGACCTGTGGTGTTTCACAAAGATCCCAAGTCAAAATTATGGAAAGCCGTAAGCATCTTTGAAAAGATTTTGTGAAATTAAATTTAAAAGGCATAAAGTGTTGATTCAAATCATTCATACTTTCTATTATCAAGGAGATTTCATGTTCTTGATGTGGAATTTATGAAAAGTCTAAAATACTTTTGATTTTTGCTTTTGAATATAATTCATTTTAAGGCTACAAATGGCTCCCCATTATGTTTAAGTCACACTCAGAGTTAAGCTCGACTCAGGATCTTTGTGAAACACCCCCAGCACTGCATGCATTAACGGAAATAATATTATGCTCCAATAGCTACATATTTAGCCAATCAAAATGACATGTTCTTAGTCTTATGTGATTATGAACAATAATTCTTGCTTAGCTTGTTGTGTTGTTTTGTTATTGTTCTTTTTGTTAATTTTGTTTTATTTTGTTTTTGTTATTGTTGTTTTATTTTGTTCTGTTTCTTCTTTTTTTTTCATTCTGCATCGTTATTCCCATTTCATGAAAATATGAAAGGACATATATTATAACAAAACTCACCTCATGCATGACTTTACAGTAAATCACAGGGCTGTACACTGCCAACACCAAACAAGATCAGACAATGCAAACAGATCGACAAGAAATGTCATATTTTATTGGCTTCTCACATGTGGAAGCAATATGTATATGTTAGAAATTCTTCTCTTTTTACAAAAAATCTATATGATCAGCTCACGATACATCACGTTGACATTATTATCTAAAATCACAAAGTTGATAGAGTATTGCAACATTATAAGTAATCGTGTGATGCAAAAGATGACAAGAAAATAGAACTGTGGTATTAAAAGATGTAAATAACAGAATTTATATAGCAAAATAATAAGGAAATCGATTAACAAGTATTCAAGTTTCCATAGAAACTGAGAAATAGATATGCTTCATCTCATCCTTCTTATAATTATACAGTCATTGTCATTGAAATAATTATGTAGAATGCATTTCAAATTTGACATCATAACTTAGCAACATTACGCTGAATTGTCGCTTCTTTGCAATTTTTAATGCACATTTTGTAACACTTTATTATCCAAAGCTGAT